CTGGAAGTGTCAAGGCCAGGTTGGACGAGGCTTTGGGCAACTTCATCTAGTGGAAGGTGTCCCTACCTCTGGCAGGGGGGCTGGAACTAGAAGATCTTTAAAGTCCCTTCCAACCCAAACCATTCTATGAAATCTTTGCTTCTTTAGAGGTTATGAATTGCATTCTGAGATTTACCATTTGATGATCATAGTTATGGTGTAAGTAATGTTTGAGGACCTTGAGAGTAACAGCTACTCATGTAGATTATGGCTTGTAGAACTGAGCCCCAAAATATTAGTGTCTCATAGGGATTTCTTGCTCACAACTACTGCTTTGTCTTGGACATGAGAGGACATGTGTATGTATTTTCCTCACAGTTTTTGCAGCACATAAAACTCTAACATGCTGTTGTATTTTAATTTGAAGCCTAAAATATTAGAAATGTGCATCACTTAACATGGTGGCTGGCCAAAGCAGTTTCTGCGACAGATTCTTCTACAGGGATGTGGTGTACAGGCACACAGGTTCACTTCTCCTCTAGACTCACTCCCCTACCTCCCATGATGAAGATTCTCCACACTTGCAGCTTTATTAATTGAAATGAGCTAATGACAAAGGTAAATGTTTTTTACAGGCAGCTGTACTGCAATGTGATGTGTGTGAAATATTGTGTCATGAAACCTGGACTTCTTCTGCTTTTTGGTCCAGGCAAAAAAACCTGTGGTGAACAATAAAATGTCTCACAAATTCTGTGAAAAGTGTTAAAATAACAAAACTGTCATATTTTATTAAAGGATGGAAAATAAGTATTATAATGGAGAGGCAAGAGAAAAAAAAAGGGGTGGGTGGGAGGTGACACACCAAAAAACAGTATGGCCAGATAAGGGCTGGTTATAAAAGAATGATATTACAATCTATGCTGTGAAAGGTCTGATCCTGGAGTCAGTAAGTATATGTGTACCAAGCTCTGTTTAAGCTTGTGCACTCTTGGTTATATTAGTGGCTGTTGATAATTTAGCAGAAAATGGGATTTCATGCATCTAAATTAGAAATGATAATATTCTAAAATGGTTAATGCATGAGTGATATGCACAGTAATATGCAAGCACTGTCAAAATCTTCTGTCACTGGCAGAGATCACAATAGAAAATTGAATGGGAATGCCAAAGCTGCAATTGTTTCCTCATAAACCAAATCACCTACTTCTGAGATAAAAGAACTTTTCTGAATCTAGGTGCAAATTCTTTGGCCTTATTCTGGTTTAGAGCTAGCTTTGGGTTTACAGCTAGCTTTAAGTTTACAGCTAGCTTTACTATGAAAGTCAGTGGTGTTACTATCATAAAGCTACTGAAAGTGATGTTTTAATTGAAGTTCCTGCTGATTCCTCCAGGAAAGGTGTTTGTAGAAAGAAGGGTAGGGGACATTGCTAGTAACTTAGCTGTGCAAACAAAGATGGGAGGTGATAAGGCTTCTTTATGGAAGTTAATCCAAGTTACCAAATTAATCCAACTAAAGGCTTCCTTGCTTTGTCCTGCTAGTTTATTCAGAGGTGATGATGTCATTTGCCTACTCTCCCACAGTTGTGTTACTCTCCTGTTAAGCCAGAAGATGCAGAGGCAAAAATTAACATCTGTATGCAGCTTAAGCCCCTGAACAACTTTCTTTAGTCAAATGTGAGCTAATAACCTGATGAGCAATGAATTCTGCAAGATAATATTAGTTCTACCTTTCTGGTACAAGGAAATGCCTTTCTCTATTTTCTTGTAAAACAGTAAGAAAGGTCCTAGAAGAGAGCTTATATACATGGATTTGTTGTGCACAAGTAATGCACATTCTGATGGGTGTGATATTTTCCTGCCATTAAGCAAAACCACCAGGGTGGAGTCATGACATTCCTCAGAGCTTTACAGGTTTAATACGCAGTCCCTTTTGCAGAATGTGCTTTTTACTTTTACTCTCCCTCTCTCCTCCCCACAAAAAAAGAAGTGTAAATTAATGAATTACAACCTTTAGAAATGCATTGTGCAAAGCAGTACAGTTACCTTCATATGCAATAATGGCTAATCCGTCAGAAAGTTGGAGAGAAAAGAAACACTTAAAATTCTCTACTTCTGCTGCAGAAATAGAGAGATGTCTGTTAAACAGAGGTGTTCCACTTTCTAATCTAATGGAAATTGGATGAGTTAGCTGAGAGTAGTTCATGTTGCACATTATTACCTAAAAAGACTTTCCCTCTCTAAAAACCTCTAACAAATCACATCTCTGTTTCCTACCTATCACCATTGCTGTTGGAGGGACTGATAAAAGCTTTTGCCTAAACGCAATAAAAACGTTAACTGAAAAACAAACACGCATGCAGATGCAGCATGTCTGTGTAGACACAGCCATACCTGTATCACTACAGTATCTGTTATGCCAACCCAAACTATTCTATGATTCTATGTTAACTAAACCAACTAATGTGGAAGTTTTATCACTACATTTCCAACACAACCAGTAGTGATTTTCACATAACATCCTTCTAGACAAAGCATTACAGCTCTGGGGAAAACAAACCTCACGTTGAACATTTTTATTTTTCTTTTGCCTTCAATCCGAAAAAATGTTTGTCTTACTGGAGAAGCAAAAGCAATTATATTGTGGGTTTCTGTGCAAGGAAATGGGTGCTAGATTTAACACCATTCAGAGGAAGCTTTGTCTTCCATGTCATACTTCAGCAATACATAATAGGATTTGGTTCGCTGTGTCTGATTGAGAAACTTGATTACTTTTCTTTTATACAATTAATTTAGATATCCTTACAGTGGGAAAATATCACACAATGGCAATATGCACCAGAAAAGACTTTTCTTCCTTAATGAGAATGTTGGGAACAGCCTGGAGGGAAAAGTTAAAAGACTGAAAGCAAAGGATCAGCATGGAGGCTTCTTAATGAATACCTCATTAGGGTCAGAGAAAGGGAACCAAAGGCAGAAAGGAAAGAAAACAGTATGAGTAACTGGTAAAGTACAAGAGTTTATTCAGACAAAAAAAAATCTTTTAAAATGGTAATGCAGCTAAGCCCAAGAGAAGTTAGTATCACTGTAACTGTTAGTAAGTATAAAGTGGAAAACATAGAGGTCTGATTGTGCTTTCACTTGCACAGAACTGCTGTTAAGGGCAGATCATTATGAGGACTAGAAGAAAATTTGAGTAGCCAGATATAAAGACAAACAATGTATCTGTGATTTTTGTACAGCTGGACTACTGAGGTGCTGAGGGGTTAATCAAAGACAATGAAAGGTCAAATACAGACACCTTAATCCATGCAAGTGAGAAAGCTATTATCACCCATGAAAAAACCAAAATACTGTGACGCTTAGTGCTTTGTCTGGAAGGCAGCACACTTAATAGAATGATACCAAAATAGATGTTCTGCCAAATTTGTACAGCTTGTTTTCTTGGGTTTTTTTTTGGTTTTTTGTTGTTTGTTTGTTGTTTTTTTTTTGTGGTTGTTGCTTTTGTTTTTTCCCCAAAGTAAAATTTATTGTTCTATTTTGAAAATAAAACTTATTAGTGAACTCCCTTCACTGTCCTGGCTCTGAGATGCTCCCTGGGGGTACTGAGGACCAGCAACAGAGGTAGCAAAACAAAGTAGGCTGTTACAGCCAGAGTGCCAGCTAAGCTATGATGCAATGAGCCAGTGCTTCCTCAACGAAGTGCAGTCTTTGTTCTCAAGCAAACATAACTGCACAGATGCCCAGAAAGGTAGCGAGAATTACTGACTGAGCTGAGCAAATGCTTGGATGCGTGGCTGTCTTCTACTGACATGATTTTTTTTCTCTTTATTTGATGGTATTTTTAAGAACATGGAACAGCATCATAAAATGTATCTGAAGGCAAACTTTTTTATAGAATCAGAGTGGTTTGGGTTGGAAGGGAACTTGAAAACCTAGTTCCACCCCCACCCCCACCCCCATTGGCAGGGACACCACTTTTGAAGAGTTTTCCTTTGAAGTGCTTTTTGGGAAGCTCATGGTTAAAGAAATATACTTTGCAAGAAATAAATCCTGATTTGAGAAACACTATAATTGCCTTATGATAAGCTGCTAATAACAAAGCCAAGAGGAAAACAACATAGACAGAAATCTAACAGCAGAGCTGGAGTCCAACTCTGAAAACATAGGTTGATTCCTGACCCATGCTTTCCCCTTCTGATTGTTGTCCATTAAGTAAAGAATCTGAGAAGGGAGGAAATTCTGAGCAGCTTGAGTAGCAGCAGACTAACTCGAGCTCAGTGTACCTTGGGGGAGGAGGGAGGAAAATGGTGAAAACTTTTAGGCTTGGGTAACAAGGATGAGGGGAGAAAGGTGAGAAGGTGAAAACTAATAGAAACTTGTGAAGAAAAAGATGAAAAGGCAACATACATCCTATAAACTTGGATTGGGAGAGGCATGCATGGTTCCTCAGTAAACAAGTTCAGGCTGTGTCTTTGTACATTATGTGCTGCCTGCTTCAAGCAAAGGGTCTGGCCAGGCTGTGCTGTTGCTAAAGCAGGGTTAAATGGAGGCTAACTGCCAACAGAACATTTTTTAGGGAAGTCAACTTGTGCATTTTTCTCCCTTGCGTAAGCCCCCCAGCATAAAAGTACAGCTGTTCAGTGGTTTTCTGGAATGTTTTACTATTTCCATGGGTCCCTCTGAGCTAGAAATGCTGAGACACAGAACTCTCATTCAGTGTATCCCTCTCAATTTTCAGAAAAGTGAGGGGACTCAGGAATGCTGTTTTGTTTTCTGTTTCTGGTCTTATACTTCATCTACTGATTATTAGAGTCTACTAGCCAAATCTATCAGTAGCTGACAAACTTGTATGACTTAGAAGTAAAGGAATAGGTGAATTAGCTGAAATGAGGTGTTTGGTGAAATTATTCTTTTTTCTGGCCTTCACTCTAATTATAGCTTTCATTTCAAACAGTGAAATACTTTCTGAATATTGACCTTGCCCAAATTCAGTACCTGTTTCTTTAGAGGTTGGCAGTTACCTTTTGCTGTAGCCTGCTTTTTGTCTTGTTTTCAGTCATGCCACTCACTGATCCATTGACAATCTGATCTCACTTTCCTGCTGTGAGGTAGTCTTCAGTTATTTCCCATTTTTTGTGCCTATAAGAGAAATGCCACTCAACTACAATAAAAGGAGATAAACACCACAAATAGTAACCAAGCATTCTAGCTAGCATTGTTATACAGCAGATACCTGGACAGTTTTGCTATCAAACAAAAACCAAATGGAATGAAAATTGTGAGACACCCGACAGACCAAAATCTGTAGTTCTTTCAGATGATGGTGCAATACAGAATACTAACAGCATGCCATTTGCAGCGTGGTATTTTCCTACCCATAGCTGAAATTCACTTGAAAATTCCAAGTAATTTTAGTATAATCCATCATTTATCTGAAGATAAGGACATAAATGATTGTGCCAGCCATTCTATTTCATACATGCTTTGTCTCAAAACAATCACTGTTCTTAGGACTTGCAGTCAAGATAGCATCTTTTCATTTGCTTGTTATAGCTGAAGTAACAAGTATCATTAATCCCCTTGTGTGTCAGATTTGTTAACTACCTAAAATGTTCAGAAATTACACAGATTCTTCTAGGGTACATCTGTCAAATCATAATTTTGGTTTTTTTTTTGCAAAGGATAAGTTTTAGAAGATGGTACAGAACATGGTATGTGTGCTCTGAATACAATGACTGTCTTGGTGAAAGTGATCTTAAGAGACAAATTTGTTGATGGAAAGGGAACAAAAAAAATAATATTGTGGTTGACAAAAGCTTACTGGCTTGCTTTTCACTGCAGGGTTTTTAGGACCAGAGGGAGACAGAAAATAACACTGTGGTTAGTAATTTCTGTGCAACAACAGCTGTATATAAGAAAACAGCTCTGCTGGAGCCTTTTGATCTTCAGGCTGCAGCATTTGGGCCTCATGCATGAGGTTTGTACACCTTTAAGCTCTAGAGTAAATTTTATTGCCATCTACTCGAACTCTCCAATATAGCTGAACTTGTCTTGGGTATACATGCCAAAATTTTAACTTTGCATAAAATTCTGATTTGAGATAAGTAGCTGAGGTTCAATTCTCAGCAATAATAACCTGTTTATTCCTGTTAGCATGGTGGAAGATAATCCTACAATAGTGAAGAAAACATAGCAAGTCTTCCCTCCACTTTCCCCTCTCTTAAGTGAACCACATTTACCATTTTGCTTTCAGAGCTCCATGAGATATCTAAAAATTTCTCTTTGTGATGCTCTGCAATTTTATCTTCCCTAGGTTCTCAAACCTGATCCTAACAATGCAGAGGCTGAGTTCTTAAAAATACCATAGTCACCCTTAGGACAAACTGTCCAAAAAACTGAAATGCTATCCAACGATACTGCTAAATTGTTAATTAATATTTGAGAGCAACACGTGGTAGAACATAACATCTGTGTCACTGCACTTCCAATAGAATTATTGTACAGCTGAGAGCATAAAGCACAAACATCAGCAGTAATCTAGAAGAGGATTGAAAACTGAAACAAGATTACCCAAAGAGTAGAGATTTAGGTTCATATGCAATAGAGCCTACAATACACACAGACAGCCATGGCCTGTTATGGCCAGGCTGTATCTTGACCCAGTCCTCCCAGTAAGCTGTAACTCTTACCATGCTTGCAATTCTGAAAGGATTCCAAGATTATACTTCTCTTTCTGTAGAAAGATGATGCTTGCTGGGTTGCCAGTAATCCCCCCCATTCCCCTGATTTAGCCATCTGGCTACTTTCTTCGGCATACCTAATATACTGCCAAAGCAGATCTAGTCATATGCCGATGAATCCTGATAACCTGTTTCCCAATTCAGCTCTAGGTATAACATATCCAAATTAAATTTTAGTCTATTTCTTCTCTTATTGAGGTGTCTCCTAGAAGATAACCATTAAATTCAGGTAAAAAAAGCACAACGTTAACCATCCAGTGTAAGCTGGACTTAGTATTTGATTAAAAGGGTGCATGTTCTTTATTCAAGTAAAGATAGAACATGACCTTTTATGAACCCACCAAGGCAGAAAAGAAGACTTGAAGTGTAGGAAACTTAGATACGTGCCAAGCACCCAGAAACAACAGTATCCTTCTCACAAGGGGATTAGATGCCCTAAAATGTGGGCAGTAATAGCCACATGAGAGATTAGCGATACTCCTGGTGACACTAGGAGGTTCACTCAAAAAGGTCCAAAGAAAACGAGAAGTAGTCAGCAAATGAAAGTGATTTGTGACTGCTTGAAATGTTTTCAACTAATACTATACTTTTGCAAAAACGAGAGTTTAACTAGGACAGTGTAATCAGAGGTTGTAGCTTATGTAACCTTAAATTACCATATTAATTATCGGAGCTGCACTAAGGAACGACAGGCAGTGCCAGAAGAGTGACTACCCAAATGTATCACTTTAACAAACACAAGATAGAACTGCCACAGTGCAGGAAAACGCAGTGACTGCCCTTTATCAGAAATAAGATTTTTTTAACAGGAATTAACTCTGACATATTATGTCCATGTCTGCAAACACAGTCCACACGTTTCTACAGAATTATTCTAGAAAGCGTAAATAAATCGCCATGTTTACATTCTGCATCTGCCTCTGTTTTTATAGTGCTACAAAGAGCAAAAAGAGATGAAATACATTTTAAGATATTTAATACAATTAGAGATAATATTGTTCATTCAGCAGGTAACACAAATATAAATCATCCATCTTCTTGTTCTAAGTAGATTGTAAAAAGTAGGTTGTGAGGTTGGGATGATTTAAACTGAAAGGCAGCACCCTCCTCACTTCTGCAGTGCTGCGGATACAAGCATTTCAGACTGGTATTTACTGCCTTTTAAACCAGTGACTTCCAGGTGAAGTTTGCACATGCTGTGCAACCCAAGCAAGGTACCGTTTCCAAGCAGGCAGGCAGGACACCTCACACCACACCATCGGAAGTGGGCACACCTCTGCTCTCCTCCAGTGTGAGAATTAACCCTTGTTTCTATCTACTACCTTGACAAAAGTAAGGTGAGAATGAAATCGACTATTTGCAAATTTAATGATAAATGTGACTCTTAACTGTACAGGGCTGCTTTTCTTTCTCAGTTTAGCAACAAAAACTAGGAAGCACTCCATAGCTGTAACTGATTTTTCTCTGCTATGTAGCTCAAGTTGTGGAGAGGAAAAGTGTAGAGAAACACCACAATCATTCTGGAAAGGCATACAATTAAAATTCTTAATATATGAAGGATAGCTTATTTGAAGGCACTTCACCATAGTTTTGAAAGATGCTGTAGTTTCAAAGATTATGGTGGTAACAAGCAAAATGGACTGCCACAGTCAGGAGCGTGAAACATTTATCTGACACTGAAACAGAGATAAAAGAGCCTTTCTATATCACCACGGTAATTACCTGCTCTACACCATATTCCATCTCCCTATTCAGGCAAAAATCTACTTATGTTAGTGGTGTGGGTTCACACAGGTCAAGCCCTCCCAACTCCCCCACTGAACAAAAGTCCCTCTTTACCCTCATCTCTTTTTTGGGGGTTGTAATTTTACTGAACCCGTTTACTAGTCCATGCCATGCTATGCACACAACACAACTGAAACAAGCACAGCTACTAATGGAGGGGACGGAAATTTACAGTGAAGTGTAGCACACTCTGGACAAAATCCTGCTGTCTCTTGCTGCTGTACATCTCATTAATTCTGGTGGGTTTGCAGAAATATATAAATGGGTGTCATGAATCCTGCAAATTTCCTGCCTGTATGTACTGTGATCCCATTAAGTTATGTAGTTACCAATATGCCACTGGACTTTCTCAGAAGAATATAGGGCTTGTGCACCTGTTAATAACTGGTAACATTTTAGGTGTTTTAATGTATGGAGAGTGGGAGGACAGTAAATATGTTACAGGAGCTCACCTGAACATGTTGAAGAATTCTAGTCCAGTTTCATTTTTAAGAATCCATGCTAAGTTTAAAATCTGGGAAAAAAAGAGGGGCGTTTAACTTTTACCAACTAAAATCTAATCTTTGGTTGCAGATCACATTTTTTTTTTTTTTTTAAATAGAAAATGGGTAAGTCTGGTTATGGAAAGCATATGCTACCCAATTTTGATGAAACCAATACCAGTTGCTAACCAGTGGAAGTTGTATTGCCTGTTAGACTGAAAACCAGATGTGTTTGTGTGAGTCTCAAAAATCATCAACATTGCCTTTAGTGATTTTTGATTAATTTATATCATGAGTTTAGCACAGTAATAGAATTTTCAAGTGCTCATTTGATCATGACCAGAGGTTAGCGGCTGCTTCTTGCAGGCTGGTGGGAAGAGCTTTCATGGTGAGAAGGTGTTATTGCCCCGGGTGCTGTACCTTCTGTCAGAGAGGGCATTTGATTTATCTTCAAAAAGGCATCTCCTGTTCTGCAGGACATGAGAGCTCACATACACGGCATGGCTGTGAGTCTGCAGAACATTTAGCTGTGTCCTAAATAACTATGGGGTGTGGGCTTCCCGAGCGGGCCTCGGAAGGCAAGCCTTCGAGGGGCACAGGGCTTAGGGGTCTGCGTTTTGCCCGGAACCGAGATTTCCTCTGACAACTTCATCTTAACAGTCTAAATTCAGCAGGAGACGCTATCGGAAGCCACCAACACCTTCCTGTCCCGGGACGCGGCAGCGTGTTCCCGGCGAGACGTGGGCTTTTTAACCGGCGCGACGGCAGGCTGCCGGCCGGGCTCCTAGAAGCCGCCCCGCGCCCGCGGAAGCCGGAGGGACGCGCCTTACCTGGCTCCGCGGAGGGCCTGCCCTGGGGCGAGGAGGAGTGGGAGCGACCACGGTTTTGCTGGGGCGGAGTGGGGCGCGATTCAGCCCCGACAGCGTTCTCCCTGTACCATGTTCGGCTCGGCTCGGCGCTGGACCCTGCGTGGTCTCTGTTCCCTCTGCGCGGCCCCTACATTTATAGCGAGGGGCGTTGCAGCACAGCCCAGCTCACCCTCTGTCTCTCCCCACCCCTCTCCCGGGACAGACCCCTCTTGACCCGTCTCCCTCTAAGTCCCCTACTTTCCCTACCCCCCTCCCCGTCCCCGTCTCCGCCCGCTGGCACGCCCGCATCCGCAGCCCCCCCCGCCCTCTGCGGGTGCGGCGGCGGCCGGTCCGCACGGGTCCGCCGGCAGCGAGGGACGGTCCAGGGTGGGGGGGACAGGCAGGACGGTGTCTCCCGGCGCACGGCATCGCAGGGCAGAGCCAACGCCCGGGCACCCGCGGGTTCTTTGGAGAAGGAGGACATCCAGCGCAGCGCAGGCTGGGTGGGAAGTGCGAGGGATGGGCATAGAACGCCCGTTGCTTCTTTTGCCTTCAACTTTCTGAAGTAGGGGTCTCAAGCAGTGTACAGACATTTCTTGTTTCTGTAGGAATCCCACAGGCCACCTGTAAGCCCAACTGA